TTTGTTGGCTATATAGATCACAAATTCTGTGGTTTACCTTTTCACTCTCATAATGTTGATTTTAATTAAGAGAATAACTTAATTTTAATGACCTCTAATTTATCAACTGTTTATTTTCATGGTTAGTGCTTTTTGTTTCCTGTTCTAAGAAATACTTGCCCACCCCAAAATTACAAACATACTGTTTTTCACTATTATCCGCTAGAATATTTAGTGTTTTACCTTTAGTGCTATAGTCATTTTGAGTTGATATTTGTATTTGATGTGTGGTAGGAGTCAAGGCTCATTTTTTCCCATATGAATATCCAATTTATCCACTACCACTTATTAAAAAGACTCCTTCCCACCCAACACCACACACATACAAACACACACCCACTGCATTGCAGTAACACCTTTGTCATATATCTGGTGACTATATATGGTCAGGTGTGTTCCTAGCTGTTTTGTTCCATTGATCTATCTTTCTTTCAGTACCACAGTTTTAATATTGGAGCTTGATAGTAAGTCTTGCTACTTGGGTCTTGCTTCCAACCTTGTTTTTAAATTTCAAGGTTGTTTCTGCCATTCTTGACCCTTTTCATTTATGTTTCAATTTTAGAATTCCTTCATCGATTTCTATTTTAAAACAAGCCTGCTGAGATTTAGATTGGAGTTACCCTATAGATCAGTTTGAGGGGAATTAACACCGTTACAATTTTGTGTTACAATTCTTGAGCATAACATATTCCTCCATTTATTTAGGTATTCACAAATTTTTATTGAAAATGTATTCTGGTAGAGTTCTTTCTTTTAGACTTATTCTCATATATGTGGTAGCTTCTGAGACATTGTAATTGTAAATGATATTCTTTTTTACATTTCATTTCTATTTGTTGCTATATGTAGAAGAAAAAAATATGTTTCTTTATTGACTATGTACCCAGTGACCTTAATAAATTTATTAGCACTAATAGTTTGTACATTCATTTGCATTTTCTATGTGTATAACCATGTTGAAAAATAATAGTTTAATTTCTTCCTTTTTTGTTTTCTTAATGCAATAAATTACATTGCTTGATTTTCAAGTATTAAACCAACCTTGTAGTCCTAGAACAATCACTTTATTATGTTATCCTTTTTTTAACATGTTGGGTTATATTTCTAATGTTTAATATTGAATATATTCATGAAGGAGATTGACCTATTCTTTCACTTTATGTTCTTTCACTTTATATTCTTTCACTGTAATGTTCTTTCATATTTAGGTATAAAAATGAGTTGAGTTAACATTTTTTTCAACTCCTGAAAGTTTGGATAAGACTGGTGTTATATCATTCTTAAAAGTTTGGAAGAATTCAACAGTAAGGATTTAGCTTTACTTTGTGGGCTAAGTTTTAATTTTGAATTAAATATCTTTAATATCTATATTTCTATAACCACTTCTATTAAGGTCCTATTTCTTCTTATGCCCATTTTGGAAAGTTGTGTTTTTCTCAGTAATTTGTCCACTTCATCTAAATTGTCAGATTTACTACCATCAAATTATTCATAATATTATCTTTTTTATGTCTATAAGACATTAAGGAGTCATTGAATAAGTATGTATTAACTGAATAAACAATGGAGAAAAAAAGTAGAGCTGTTCAAGATAAAGAAGCACCTGCTTCATCTTCAGGAAATCCCTTGGGTACTGGGGAATAGCCTGAAATCTATTGAACTAGATGATCTCTTCTTGGCTTCTCGCTGCTGCAATGTTTTACTATCATGATGTTCAACCAGCAGTTAGAAATAGGATTTGAATCAGGATAAATACTGAATCTGGAGAATGTAAAAGGCATAGCACCTTAGGATGATAATTAAAGTACTAGAATTGAAAGAAACAGCAAAAGGAGAGAAAGGAGCAGAAAGAGAACTTAAAGGACTGTCTACATTGATGAGTTTGAAATTCTGAGAAGCATGGCAACAGCAATGGGGACATGACCACTGGAGAGGGAGCTGGAAACCAGGAAAATGCACAGTTTGGAAACCAAGAGGAAACTTTCAAGAAAAGTGGGGTATAAAACATTATAAATGCTATTAGAGAGGCTAAGAGACATGAGAAAGCATAGCTTGGAGAGTAAGAGGTACTTGGTGACCTTCAAGAATTAAATTCAATAAAGTGGTGAGAGTGGAAACAGACTATAGGAACTTAAAAAGTGAACTGGATGTAGAACAAATGTGAAATATTTTGTCAAGAAAACAGGTCACAAAGGAAAAGAGAATAATATAAGCTTGGGATAGCATGACAAAGGGAAGAATATAGTATATTTTTAATAGAGATTTAATTGAAAACTAAGAAAACAATTTCACTTATAATACCATCAAAAAGAATAAAATATTTTAGAATAAATTTAACAGGAAGTACAAAACTTACTCTTAGAACTACAAAACATTGTTGGAAGTACTAAATAAATGAAAAGATGGCTCATGCTCATGGATCAAAACACTTAGTATTGTTAAGATGGCCGTACCCTCCACATTGATCTATAAATTCAATGCAATCATGATCAAAATTCCTGGTAACTTCTTTATAAAAACTGACAAACTGATCCTAAAATTCATATAGAAATGCAAGGAACACACAAGAACCAAAAACAATTTTGAGAAAAGAACAAAGTTGGAGACCTTACACTTTCTGACTTCAAAAATTACTAGAAAACTATGTTAATCAAGACATTGTGGTACTGGTATGAGGATAGACACATAGATGAATAGAATACAATTGAGAGTCCAGAAATAAACCCTGACATTTATTAACCATTGACTTTTGACAAGGGTGTCAAGATAACTCACTGGAGGAAAAATAATATTTTCACCAAATGGTGCTGGGAAAACTGGATCTCCACATTACAAAGAGTGAAGTTGGACTTCTATGTCATGCTATAATGTTAGGACAAAAATTAACTAAAAATGGTTAAGGACCTAAATGTAAAAGTTTAAACTATAAAACTCTTAGAAGAAATCATAGAGGGGAAAATCTTAATGATTTGGATTTAGCAATGATTTCTTGGATATGACACCAAAATCATAGGCATAAAACAAAATAAATGGTACTACATCAAAATTAAAACTTTTAAACTCAAAGGACACTATCAACTAAGTAAAAAGGCAACCCATGGAATGGGAGAACATACAAGTCATATATCTGAAAAGAGATCAATATCCAAAATATATAAAGAACCCCTACAACTTAACAACAAAGAACCCAATTTAAAAATAGACAAAATACTTAGACATTTCTCCATAGGAGATACACAGGTAGCCTATAAGCACATCCAAAGATGCTCAGCATCATTAATCATTAGAAAAATGCACACTAATTAGGCAGCTATTTTAAAAAAAGGAAAATAGTGTTGGTAACGATGTAGAGAAATCTGGAACCCATATGCGTTGCTGGTGGGAACATAAAATGGTGCAACCACTTGAAAAAAATGTGATGGAAAGAGTTAAACAGAATTACCATGTGATCCAGCGATTCCATTTCTAGGAATATTTTCAAAAGAGTTGGGATGAGGAACTCAAATAGATAATTTGTACACCAACCTTCACTGCAACATTATTGGCAACTGGCAAAAGGTAGAAAAAACTCAGTGCCCATCAACAGAAGAACAGACGAGAAAAGGTGGTATTTACATACAATGGAATAATACTCAACTTTAAAAGAGAAGGCAATTCTGATATGTGCTACAACATGGATGAACTTTAAGAACATTATACTAAGTGAAATCAGCCTAACACAAAAGGAAAAATACTGCATTGATTCTACTTATATGAGATGCCTAAAGTAGCCACATTCATAGAAACAGAAAGTAGAATACAGATTACCAGGGGCTAGAAGCGTGGGGCAGGGAGAAGAGAATTGGAAGTTACTGTTTAATGGGTACAGAGCTTCTATGTGGGATAGTAAAAAAGTTCTGGAAATGGAAAGTGGTGATAGTTATAAGATGTTGTGAATGAATTTAATGCCCTTGAACTGTATATTAAAAATGGTTAAAAGGGCATATTTTATGTTATATATATCTTACCACAACAACAATAAAGCAATTAAATCCCCTCTTCCTCCATTCTGAGCAGCTAGATGGATGACTCCCACCCCAGCAGAAGACTGGAGGTAATTCTCTGGAAGAAGCCAAACAAAGCCTCTCTGGACTGGAAGGTATAAAGCACAACTGAGGGCAGGGCCACCATCCTCAGTAGGTGGATTTCATGAATAACATACCTCACATTGAGCCCTCAGGTCTCTCCTACCACTGGCTTCCTAGGGTATAGACTGATCCCCTCCCACAGGGAGACTGAGGGAGTCACCCCACGAAGAGTCATTCAAGAAATAAGAACTCAAAATACCGATGTCAGGGGTTCCGCAACTAAACAGTCCAGACAAATCGCCTATGAGCCCCACAGTATGTGATATTCATATTCTCCACTACTCAATAGGGCAAGACAGTGAAGGATCACCTGAAGACTGAGGAAGAGACCAAAGGAAGCAGGAATGGGTCAGTAGGAGGAGGCAGCAATTACACAACAAGAAAATAACACTGGAAATGAACTATATCCTTAATATCCCCAGCAAGAATATATTGAGTCCATGATATAAGGCCAAGATGTTAAAAAGTAACCAGAGAGCTCTGGAAAATTAAAAGCATGATGGCAGAAGTGAAAAATGGAATGTTTAGAAAATAATGTTGAGGAAATTTCCCAGGAAATAATATAGAGCTATAAAATAGTTCAGAAAATTAGGGGACAAATGAGCTCTAACAAATAACAGGTGTGCCAGAAAGAACAAAGAAAAGAAACTGCAATAAAATAATTCCAGTAAAATTCTCTAGGATGAAGGACATTCGTTTCTTGATTGAGTTGTGTGTGTGGAAGGAGGGGGCCGGGACACGACAAGCTTGTGTGAAGCAGCGACCTGATCTGGGACTCACCTGTGCAGTGCCTGCTCCCGCCCCTACCTATTGCAGGTGTGAACAACTCTTTGGGCTTTGGGACCCGGCTTTTCTGAGTTCAGACTCCAGCTGTGCACTTCCTAGCCGTGCGACCTCAGAAAATTTCCGGAGCCTTTTCTGGATCTCAGGTTCCCTATGTGGGCGTAGGAAAGGCTCTCCAGCGAAGCTGGCATGAGACACAAACGAGGGATGAAGCGGAAGGCCTTTGCATTGGCGCTAAACAATCGCAGCCCCGGGCGCGCGGCACACCTGGGGCCTGGGAGCTGCGCGCTGAGCGCGTCCGCGGGCGGGAGCGTCCGCAGTCACCGAGGCAACCGGGGACGCCTCGCGATCCGGGCCGCGTGCGGCAGAGCGGAGGAGGCTGCATGAGGCTGGAAGACTCGGTGGTGGCGACCGCGGGCCCGGCGCCTGAGACGGGCCGCGGCGGGGAGCAGCCTCGGCCGCCCGCGGGGCAGGGGTGCGGGGCGCGAGGGGAGCCCGGCGGCGGCGGCCCGCAGGATTCCTGCCAACAGCGTGAGTTCCCCTCCGGCCGCCGACCGCGCGCCGTGGAGAGCGGGTGATGCGGGAACGGTGAAGCCGAGTCGGGGGGTGGGGGGCACCGGCTGCTGCCGCGCGGGCCGGAGGGAGCGGGTGGAGCTGCTGTGCTTGGCGGCGACGGCGACCGCACTGTGGCAAAAAGCAGACAAGCCGTCCTTCAAATAGGTATCTGGGCCCAGGGAGCCTCCAACTGCATTGCCCGGGAAGGTACTGAAAAAAATTTGTATGTGTGCATATATAAATTTATAAAAATATATAATTACAAAATATGTTACATGTAATATAGAAATTTAAAATTTATATAATAACGTAAATTGATAAGATATATAAATACATTTTATACACACACACATACGAAAATACGTAGATCATTTTTGCCAATTCCTTCATTTCACAGACCAGGAAACTGACGTCTTAACTAAAGTAAAGAAAGTGACTTGTCTGTGGCCACTCAGTGCTGGAGAAATTCCTAAAACACTTCAACTCCCATTCCATTATGGTCCCTCAATCCATAAATTATTACCTGATCCTTTTAGAATTTCACACTATTGGCTACATTTTAACACACTACTGTTTCTGCCCTGTCCTGCCAAACGCACAAACAATATTAATGTAAGTAAATACAGTTCGGGTTCGCAGTCACAACCAACTCAGTTGAAATTTGAGTCCGCGCCAGGTTGCAGCGTTCATCCATATTGTTCCACGAATTTACAGGTATTTCACAGTCCCTGCTCCCCACAGGTCTGCAGGAGGTGCTAAGGAATGATGCTGCTGAAAATAATAGACCATAGAGGACCTAGAGCGGTTTGCAGCCCTTCTGCAGAGCGCCTCGTTGATTGCCTCTCTAGAGAGCAGCCTACGCTTCTCCAGGCTCCCCGGAGGCAGGGTTGCGGTGAAGGGCTCAGCTCCTGTCCCTGCTCCCTCCAGACCTCATCAAGGAGTGGCAGAACGTCCTGGCGAAAGAGCCTCTTCCCTGAGCATCAACCCCAATGATTGATTATAATATCTCATTCTTTTTCTTATTATCAACAACATGCAGAGGTCTTAGAGCAACTAAATTCAGTCTAACTATTCAGTATATTTAAGTAATTTCCTTACTCCGACTTAAAATTCTACCTGAAAATTTCCCCATTAAAGATGTTAAGCATTAAAGGTTTTTTATTCTTGTGGCTATAGGAATAAAAGGTGGAATTTATCATTCATCATTTCAACAAATATTGCGTCCTTACTCTATGCCAGGCATTGGGCAAGTTTCAGGGACATGGGAAATGAATTAAGGCAGCTTTGCAAACTTTCAGGAACTCACAAAGTCAGGTTGGGGTTCCTGATGTAGAGTTCCTGTCTCAGCCTCCCTGAGAACCTCCTATTAGGGCCTCAGCCTGAATAGAGACAGACTGTTCCCACCAACACTAAGTGTCCATTCAATTTTCAAATGTTTTGTGGTAAGGTCTTTAGTCTCTCTACACCTTCTATTCCCTAATCATAGATTTGCTCTCAAATATAAAGTGTGGTCCTTTCCCACTAAAACATCCTTGAATTGTATAAAGGTAGCTATTTGAGCACCCATTATATCTTTCACAGACTTCAGTGTTACTTTAAGATATTTTGCAGCACTTTTTCGCTATGCTGGCTGAACCTCTTCCAACATTCTCCAGCCTATTAAGCACTGAATCCAGTATTCTAAGTACAATCAGCTGAGTATAGTGTGGTGGGATTATAACCTTCCTTGATCCAAACATTGTAAATATGAATAATATACCTGCCCATAGGTATGAGGAAGAAAGATAATATACATAAGATGCCTAGGACATGGTAGCCCTCAATAAATTGTTGCATTTGTTATTAGCTCTTAATAAAGGAAAGCAATTTAGTCTAGAATGATTGCTTTTAGCAGTCTTTAACACTTAGTGATCACTTCTCCTCATTGTCTGTACTCACCAGCCAACTGTTGACCAATCCACTCAAAATTTTGAAGAGCAACATTAAGTTGCTATGTGAGTTTGTAGAAATTTTCATTTTTCTCTCCCTTCCTTCCTTCCTCCCCACCCCCACCCCCACCACTTCTTTCTTTTCTGGAGCAGAAAATATTTGCTTACACTACCTCTTTACTACACTCGCCTTTTTCACAGTTCCTCAAAACCTGCAGTGATTTCCTCTGTAAATTCTCATAGCAGCAGAGCTGAAATCTGTCAAGGAACTTGAAGTTAGAACCGGTGATCTGTTCCTCTCTACTGACCTGTTATAGGATTTTCTTCCTTCTTTGCCACATTTCTTAAACCTTGTTCTTCCTGAAGATCATGATTTAACCAAAAAAGTTTAAACCGAAATTAAGCTTGAGAAATGCTGACCCCATCTCTCATTCACATGACTTGTCACTTTTGGGAAACAAGAATGAGACCCAGAAAGTATCTAACTCTACCTTGTCTGTGTCTGAGGGTGTGTTTGGTTCTTTGTGACCAGGAATGACCCAGGGCTAGAGCCAGAAGCAGCAGGTCTCTTGTCCATTTGGGACCAGTCTGCACAAAAGTCAAATTTATTCACTTGCTTTCCTTATTGGTTAGTCTGGAAAAGATGAGGCACCTGCCACATCTTTGTGAGTTTGAAGTCAAATCTTAAATAGCTAAAATATTTGGTTATTTAGGTTTCCACGGTTCCTTGAATTGAGCTTTTGAATACTAAGACTTGAACTGCTGGTTCCTGCCACTCACAAAGCTACATTGTCAGACATGTACACAGAATAGCCTTTGATCTCTGTTTAATTTAATAATGCTTGGTTCTCTTTGAACACACACTTGTTGAGCATCTATTACACCAAGCTCTGTTCTAGAACTGATGAACTGAACAGATAAATCCCTGCCCTCATATTATTTACAGTCTGGTAAGGAAGATATATATATTAAACTACTAGTTACATAAATATTGTATATAAAGTAAATTAAGCCATATATAAATTGCAATAAAGGAAAGAAAAGAGGAGACTACTATGAGAAAAAGGGATCAGGGAAATCTCAAGATTGTAGAGTCAGGTAAAGTTTCCCTAAAGAACTGACATTGAAGCCTAGACTTAAAATTTGAGCAGAAGTTACCCTGTCAGAAATACTAGGAGAAAGGCAGTGGAGGCAGAGAAAACAGAATGTACAAACACTTTGATGTAGGATTGGGCAGCAGGGCCATGATAGGGTCAGAGAGCAAGAGAGAGGGGCTAACAGGAGAGACTGGAGAGACAGATCGGATCAGATAGCACTGAGCTGTCTGGGGTGAGCAGAAGAAATGTAGCTAAGTTACTTAAAACAAATAATCCAGTCCTCCACTATAGCAGTGATGTCTATAGGGCCAAGTTTAGGGGGCAGGAAAAGGTCATATGTCCTTAAGTGGATCACTACAATTCAGGTTTAATCTCTAAAAAATAAGATTAAATAATGCTGAGGCTATTCTATGGTATGCATCTGGATTTTAAGCTCCATGCACAGATCTGTCTTATTGCTGTGTCCTCTGCTCCTAGCCAAATGCCTGGCCCAGGGTAAGTCTTTAACAATAAGAATTTGTGGAATCTCAATGAAAGTTTTCTTGAAGAAAAACTCCATTTATTTCTTCACACCTAAAAGAAGTATCTGAAATACTCTAAGAAGTCAAGAATTATATGAAAATGTGAAGTCCCCAAAGAACCAAAAGTTACAGCAGAAGAGATTGTTCCAAAATAGGGTCTGCAGGATGAGTCACCTGCTATTTGTAAGGAAGACTGTGTCTTTTTAAAATTGTTATTCATGTAGGTATAATGACTAGAAGATTGGGCAGAATTTCTGATAATGTAACCAATTTTGTTAATGTCTTTCTAGGGAAGAAGTTTTTATACTGTGAGCCACATAAGAGAATTAAGGAAGTACTGGAAGAAGAGCTTTATATTAAGAGAGATGAATGCCACATTAAAAATCCACCTACAGGTAATCTCAGTGACAGAGGAGGGGTGTTTGGAAAATGATATGAAATTGCTATTTGATGGCATAGTGATTATTTTATTTATTACAAAACCATAACTATCAAAGTTAAAAATGGGTCCTGGGGAAATTCTTGAGCTAATTTTATAATTATTTTACCCATATCCAAGTAAACTATTATATTTAGGGTTAAAAATGAACTAATCATACATTTCTGGTCAAGCTATTTCTCTTTAATGACAAGCAGAATTTTTTGTCCAAGTGCTTGAGAAGCTCTTCTTTAATCTTTATCGATATAGGTATGGTCAATAATATATTTCCCATAGATTTCATCAAAATTGCCTGGGAGCCTGTTAAAAGCAGATTGCTAGGTCCCATCGCTAGAGTAACTGGCTCAGTAGGTATGGGTGGTCCCCAAGAATTTACATGTCTATCAAGTTCATAGATCATGTTTATGCTGATGGTCCAGGGACCCCACTTTGCAAATCACTGACCCATAAGAATCTGGGTCATTAAATAGGTCATCATCCAAGGATTTTATTGCACATACACAGTGTATGAGTTGTACGGTCTGGGCATCGATAGCTCTCACTGATGGTTCATTTGATAAAAGATATGTGCTCTAGAAGCCCCTAAATCCCTTACAGATGTTATTTTGAAACTGGTGGAGCCCTCATTTTCATGGTTCCTTCTCAATGATGACCACCTGCATAAATCATGCTCTTTAAATCAGCAGCTTTTTATTGCATTGTGGTATCAGCATTGCTAAAAGAAATAACTGTAAGATATGGCTCCTAAACTCAGGGAACTGGACATCTTCTGAGGAGGGTCGTTGAACACCCAGCAGCTAAGACACAAATTCTCTAAGGATTCCTAAAGCAGATGCTGCATGCCCAGGGTGCATCATTTCAGATTCCAGGACATATTTTCCCACTTTATAGTTCAAAACCAGCCATAGAAACACCTTCAAGCCTTCTTGTATTGTCTATTCTTACAAAAGGAGAGACCAGCAAAATGACCAATTTTGTTCATATGGTTTCTTGAAGGAAAGTTCAAAGTTTAATTTGAACTGTGTGAATGGATGCAGAATGACCTACTGAACTGTTTCTCCAAAACCAAGCCTACATGTACTATTTCCCTAGTGGTTTGGGAAAAAATTGTTAAGTCTATACTACTATATTTGGGGTTTACTTTCATTTATACTTATAAATTCACAATTTATATACTAGTTGGATGTATTATTCTAAGAATACAGTAATATTAGTTATCTGATTATAGGATAGTCTGATTATGCACTTACTTAAAGCGTAACTTTGGACAGCAAAAACTTTGCAAAATTTGCGTAAAAATTCAAACTAACCCAACCAATGCATACATAGCTACACAAATATGCTTGGATATATGTCTTGGAATCCCTATAATTTAGACAGACTTACGGGTATCTAAAAAAATAGTATCCTGAATACAATCTAAGAAAGTCTCAGTGATTAGGAAATATTATTCGGTTTATAAAAATTCATTTTTCCAAGCAGTCTTTTCTAATATCCCTCATATAAAATGGAGAATGCCTGGACATTTATAATGTCCACCAGAGGTCGCACAGAGGTGCTGTTTTAGCCTAGAAAAATCTTTCAAAGCTGAAAATAGATTTTGTCAGTTTACGTTTTAAAGGGGCTCTACTTATGAAAACAGAGATACTATCTTTTTTTTTTTTTTTTGGTTTTTTCCTCTTCTTTTTTTAATGGCTGCAAGCCCAGTGTCTGGCCACAACAGGGAACGAGCACCTAGAGAGGGTGCCACTCTGCCAGCTTCATCTCAGAGGGTTGGCAGCCCTGGGCGAGCCACTGGATCTTGTAGTGCAGGGTTTTCAGTAACAAACTCCGTTCAGTATATAATGAAAGCTATGACTTCCCTTCCTGGAACTTCTGCTTGTCACATACACCCAGAATTCTACAAACAACTTTTAAGAATTTGTTTAGCTTCTGTAGCAGCCACGTACAGATGTTAAGAGTAAGTGCATTTAACCCACTGTCTCCACTTTCTTTTGTCATTTGCTTCTTCACCCATTCCAGTTAGGCTTTTGCTTCCATGAATCCAGGGAAACTGTTCTTTTTCAGACTGCAAAGGACCTTCCTCTTCAAGGTCAAAGCCAATGACCTTGAAGGTCAAATACAATCCACAAACTCATCAAACTCAACTTCTCTGTACATCTGATGTAATTGTTTACTCCTTCCTTTTGTAAAGATATTCTCAATTTAGCCTCCAGGTCACCATGTGCCAGTCTACTGGTTTCGTTGTTTTCTCTGCTGATTTTCCTTCTTCCTAGTCTCTAAACTTTGGAAAACTCAGCCACAAGCCCTCTTCTCTGTCTGCACTCACTCCTTGGATGATCACATCTAGACCTGTGTGCTAATGAATCCAAAGTCTACCTCCTTCTGGCCTCTGTCTGCCCCCTCAAATCCCAAAGCCTGCTTCACTTTGCACTTGGATGTCTAATGTGCCCCTTAAACTTAACATGTCCAGAACAGAACACTCATCCTATACCCCAGCTTTTAAAATCCTCCTCTTCAACAGGTCTTCCCCATCTCAAGAAGCGGTACTGCTAAATTCACTCTGTTGATTAGGCCAAACACCTAGAAGTCAAATCCTCAAACTTCATATCTAGTCCATCAGCCAATCCTGCTGAATCTACATTCGAAATGCTTCTTAATGTTTTAAAATTGCAAGAGCTTTTGTGTTTTTCTGGCTAAAACCTTCAACCATTATAGTCATCATGAAAAATTTGACTTCTGAAGCTTACTGGTTTCCTCTTACACGTATTCTCCTTTCTCAGTGAATTTGAAAAATGTCCTGCCAAATCCATTAATTTGTGTCTACTTGTGCCTTACTGTACATAAAATTAATTACAGCTTATTTATTGTGTTTAGTACCAATTTAGAAAATGTAAAATGTTGCTCAGCAAGTGTGGGTATGTTTGTTATTCATTAATTCATTCAACAAAAATGTTTTGTGTACCTACAAAATACAAGGAATGTACTATGCACCAAATGCATGTCAAGATAATGACAGCACTTAGAAGTCCCCAAACATGCACTGAAATTACTTAAATTTTTTTTCTTCTGGTCAAATCTCTACCCATGTTTACACAAAAGAAACATCAACGATACGGCTCTACACTGGCTTCTCAAGCTCTAATGTTCTTTTTCACAGTCCAGAGACAGCTGAAGGGAATAAAAATATTTGTAAAGAGTGAGCTTACCTTCCCTGAAAAAGCAAGCGAGGTCACACTGGCTGAAATTTCCAGCACAAGGGCATGGCCTAAGTTACTTTAAAATTCAGGATAAAAATACACCTCAAAAGGTCTCTGAGTATAAGGGGACTGAGGGCATGAGAAGGGAAGAGAGAAGAATCTGTAGGAGATTATGAGTTTCAGGAAAGGATTTAGCTCCTCTTAGCTGCCCTTTGCTTTTCCAGGATAAGCGTGCGAACACGGAGGTCTCTCTGGCCCTGCTTCCGTTTTGTGCCCCTTCCTCCTCCTGAAATGCACATGCCCAGAGCTGGGGGAAATGGATTTCTCTTCAAAGAAGCAGCTGCTTCAAAGGGCATCTGTGCTGCTTTCCAGACCTCTTTCTCTCCAGTTGAACATACCAGCTTCTGTAACTTCCTCATCTCAACTTCATATCAAATCAAAGCAGTTCTGTTTTTTCCAGCAGCCTCTATCCCTGAGTACAGTAAACACTTATGCATAAAGATTTGAGTTATTTTTCATGCATTTCTGAACATCTGCTCTTACATTTCAGGTATTGTCTGTATTACCTTGTAAACTTCCAGCTATTCCTTTGATTGCATCTGACATTAGACACACATGATTCTTCCAACTTAATGTGGGCTTTCTACATAGTTCGGCCTCCCAATTTGAAAGCGCTTTCCGTTTGCCAGAATTTCCCACAACGTGAAACAAATCTGAATCTGTTTTCTTGGTCTCTTACCAGGTGTCACGCACAGGGGGTATTTAATAAATGTTTGTGGCTTCCTAAATCTGAAAGTGTATAATGAGAGGTTGGGGAGCAGTTTTTTTCTATCTCTGGACAAGATAGAAAAAGAGGAAAGTAGGTGGAACTGGGTAGGGGGAAGATTCAGGTTAGATATAAGGAACAGATGCAACTTTGTCTTTCTGTATTAACAGAAGGACACTGTGGAGTCTTCCTTGAAAGTCTTTGAAGAAAAGGGAAGAAACTAATCTTGACAAATAGCTTCAGCTACTTTGTACAGGAGTGGGGAGGGAGAGGTACATATTGACATTGAACTTGGTGAGTTAGCTCGTTGACTGTGCCTCTCCAGAGGGAATCTGAGTCCATGCTTAGATAGGAAAATTGTTGTTCTGTACAAATTAATAGCTACCATTTATTGAACACAAAGCACTTTATGTCCATTTCATTCAAATCTTGTAATAATCCTTCAAGGTAAATATTACTATCCTTATTTTAAGATAAGGAAACTGAGACATAGTGACTTAAATAACTTACCTGAAGTCATACAGCTGGTAGGTGGTGGAGCAGGGACTGAAACCCAGGTGTCCTCTGACCCCACGGCTGTATCCCAATCGTGGCATCATACAGAATCCTGTAGGGAGGGGTCAAATGTCAGTGCTGATTCCAGTGGGCAGCTTTGGCTCTGTGGACAATATTGGCACTGAAATTTATAGCTTCAGAAATGGGAAAAACAACTTAACGGCATGAAACTAAATAACCTTGTTTGATGTGGGTCACAGTTTTCTGCACAATAAATTTTCACCAAATACTTGTTAATTGATTCTGAAAACCTAAATAAGTGATTTTAGGATATGGAGGACAGCCCAGTGCAATTTATCACTAGATCAATACTTATTGAATGGTGCCAGGATTTAAGACTATGCTTTGTGCCAAAGTGTAGACTTCATTTTCCAAATATTTTGCTGCGGTGTTTTCTAGTGAGTTTGTTGTTTCTTTCAAGGGGAGATCAAATAGCACCTAGTTCATGGCTTTTAGATGATTGTTGGATGTTTGGGATAAATTAATGTGGTAATTTTGGGTTATATAACCTTTGGAAATAATTGGACTTGCAGGAATAAAATCAGAATTAGGTAAGGTTGACTGAACGAAGTCTGTGTATGAACTATTATTTATTCCTGATCCTTCTATGTTTTGTTATATATATTTCTATATTGACATTTCATGTATTTCTGTAGTCAAAGTTAAATGATCTAAGAGCCCTAGAGGCTTAATTGCCTCAAATAATTGAATGAATGAACCAGAATGAAAGCTTAAACAAATGATAAAGACCTTTGGTCGTTTGATTAATCCAACTAAATAAACCTCCTACCCAAATGACTGAAAAAATAATCACCAAGTAAATACTTTAGAAACATTTTGTGCTATGGAGAGAATAAGCTAATAATCATCTTGCTTTTGAAAATATTGACAGTGGCCCTGGAAGGGATCTGGAGCATTAAAAGGAATCTCCCTGTGGGAGGCTTGAAGCCCGGACAGCCAAGCAGAAACAGTTTACTGCCACAAGCCAAGTACTATTCGAGGCATGGAGGGCTGAGAAGTAAGACCCCAATACCCTTCACGTCCACTGAAGGCCCCGAGCGTCCTGAACAATTTATAAACCAGTGGTGTATGCTTTATTTGAAGTTCTCAGTCAAAACTGAATCTTCTTTTCACTTGTTTCTCTGAGGTTACTTTTAGTTTTGCCACATTACCAGGCTGTGGAACTTAAAACAGTTAACAGTTCCATTAAGCACATTACTCCATGTATACAACAGGAGTTCATACTCTGAGTTATACTCATGTCCTGGTTAAACAGGCCCAAATGCCAGGGCTATAGTAATGCAGGGTTAGGAACCCGGAAGGCAACTACACTCAAGATCCACAAAGATAACAATGTCCTGAAATAATGGTTGATTCAACTCAAGTCTGGGCCACTTGCCCACTGGGGGCTGTTCATTTCAACTTTCCACCCAATTTGTCAGGTCCCAATTATAGTTAGTAAATCCATCATTCCCAGAAAACTCACAAAGCAAATTTATTTCAAAGATGAATGATTTTCTAAATGCCATGTTATAAGACTGGTTTGAAAAACAAATTATCTTCATTTGAAGACTTAAAGGCCCCAAAATTTACCACTTCACCAACTAGGGACTTATGATAAAAAGAAATGTTTGATTTTGACCATATTTGTATTACTTTCAGCCATTAAGTATATCAGGAATAAATAACAATTTAGGAGAGGAATTTTTGTGACTCCTGTTCAAGTTTACCCATCCCCACTACCTTCCTAGCAGCTCCCAGCCCTCTATCTATAGCCCATTCAATCCCTGACAGTGATCACATTACAATATGTATCTGTTAGTTATATATCTCAGTTTCATCTCTGTAAGTTACCAGCTGCATTTTGCCCTATGTCTATAACTATAAGTTACACAAAGCACAACTGATCAATCTGTACAAATCAGACTGAAAACTAAGAATGAGACATTTCTCATTATCAATGAAAAAAATGCAAGCCACAGAAATGTTACAAATGAACAAAATCCATGGATAATTTTCAAAAATTGATCAGTACTAATTCATACACTACGAGAAGCTCTGTGAAGTCAGGAACCGTGTCCCTTCCACCCACCCTGTAGCACAGTGCCGAGTCCAGGAGGAGCTCTATCACTTTTTGTCACGAAAATGACCAAAGAATGAGGAACCAGGGAGTATATGTTGAAAGCCTATTATATGTTCAGAATCTTCCTGCTGCTAATCCACAAATTTCTCCCCTTCCACAAAAGTATATAGTTTTCCCTGCTTGAGACTGCGATATTAAACAGGATGCAAACAATAGAGGGAAAAGCATTGGACCTTACTGACTTTACTATGTGAATCATGACGAGTTCATATATAGTATATACACCTAGGAACTAAGGCTTTCAAAGGGAGGTTTCCCATGGATCAGTATTTTCAGGGACTTCTCCTATAAAGCATACTTCAATTAGATAATTGAATGAATCCTCACTGTTACCTTCTTCCTATTCACTTTTTTTTTCTCTTTCTCATTATAGTTGTGATTCCTCCAAAACATTGATAAAACATATATTTAACATTTAAATTTAGAACAAAGAGCAGCCAATTGTAATTCTAAAACTTGTTTCTGTAAGGGACTGCAAAGCCTCTACTGCTTTCATCATACTAACAAATTGTATCCATTGGCTTTGCATCGTCTTCTTATGCTTTGCAGTTTTCCTGTTCTGTGGCATGTAACAACAGCAACCAAAAGTTCTCTACCAGTGCTGCTCAAGCTCTAAGGTGCCTACAGATCACCTGGGTGTCTTATTGAAATTCAGATTCTGGTACAGTAGCTCTGGAGTGGGGTCTGAGATTCTGCATTTCCAAGCAGCTCCCAAGTGAAGCCCGTGCTGCTTGTCCAGTCACAGTACTGGGAGCAGTGAGGGTCTGGTCAACTGAGCAGTGGTTTCTGCAGTTACTTGGATCACATGCGAAAGTATAGCTTTTGCTTTACCAAATGAAGAACTATTGGGAACATTAAATCAAATTTTTAGATTAAAATGGGGTTGGAATTAAAGAGCATTTCCCCTAAGTAAAAACTTACATATTTTGTTCACATATTTCTTTATTCCAGGATAAGATGAATAAATATTTCCATTGAGAAGAAACCTCTTACTCCTGTTGTCTGACAAACAGAGAAGAAACCCAAGTTTGTTTCACAGTTTCTATTTTTAAAGAAATGTATATTAATCTGTAATTCCTATTATTGGTATTAATTCCTATCTCTAAATTAACTCAAGGTAATTAAAGACCTGAAAAGAATGAGGGAAAATATTATACTTATTTTTTAGTTGCTCCAGTTGGAATACATTGGGCTTCTAATTCAGCCTATTTTATTAAAATATGTGAAGCATAATGAAACCAAGGCATTTTATTGAGTCTTTACTTCAAGGTAAACATTATAAATCATAATCCATCACTATAGTGTAATTATGTTCAGCCATTAAAAAACAACAATGGAAATAAATACAGGTATTTGTTTCTGTTAGTGAATGAATGACATAGGTGAAAAGCCTCTGACTGGGAGACAATCATTTTAATGCTCACCTTGATAGCACTCATCATTTCTCTAGAATTTGTCCATTAAATAGTAAGGAGCAAAGAAATCTAAAAAAGGATTTTACTAATGCTGCTGGTTTAAAAAGAGGTTAAAAAGAAGAAAGAAAAAAAAAAGAAGAAAGAAAACAAAACTTTCTTCCTCCCTTCCCCACCAATTGTTAAAAGTAATGAATGCAGTATAGAAAAATTAGAAAATAAAGAAATAAGAAGGAAAAAAACGCATCTGTGATTCAATTGCAAGAAACAACCACTAACAACGTGTTGGCATATTTTCTTTCTTTTTTCCTATGTACATTTTATTATAAATGTCTGAAACTGCACTGTATATTATATTATTTATTTTAACATATCATATAATTTCCCATTCATTAAAGTATGCCTTTGAATAATTACTTTTAAACATCTTTATATGCTTGTACTAAATTTTTGTACTTCTTTTTTGGGCATTTGGGTTTTTCCAGTTTTCATTTTATATACAACTGTTATGATTTACTTACCCTGCCCCTCCTTAAAAAGTTCTTTTTCCTAGTATTCTGGTTATACATCTTTCATTCTCCTTCCTTTAGGCTAAACTCATCTTAAAACTTCCTCCACTTCAGTTCTCAAATTCGTTTCTCACTCTTAATGTAATAAGTCAAGCCACAAGATTTGTTGATTGGTTATGTCCCTTCCCTACTTAAAAATAACTACACTGTGAAACAGTTAATGATCTCTTAAGTCAAGACCCAAACTTTTCCAGATTTAATATAAAAATTTCCATTTCATTACTGCATGCTAGAACACATCCTACATGTAAGTCATTTCCAGCCACCACCAAGTTTATGGAACTCCCTCATCACAGGCTACTTCAGGACCAGTGTTGTGGTCCTGTGGATGGAAAGATTATTTATTGCGTCAGTCAAGAGATAGAACACCAGAAACTACTTGGAGTTGGATAAAGCATTTACTATTCTTACAAATCTAGAATCTTAAGTTTCTGAAACGTCTTACCATTTTTGCACATATGTTAGGATGCCACACGTATGTTAGGATGCAATCGGTGGGGAGTAGTGGGGAGTATTGACTTTTACTCACTCATTGGAAATGATGTCCTGTTTGCACTTGAGCTGCCACTGTGACTTTACAAACACTCAGGATTTCCTTCCCCACTTCCGCTCTACTCCTACCGGTAAACAAACTCCTCCCTGCTTATTCTCAGCCCTGCTGCCCAGGCGGGATCCTCTGCATCAGCCTCTCCCTTCCTGACCAGCCGCTAATGCCACCAAAGACTGATCTCATGGCACCATTTCTTGGCTGAGTTTTCTGTCCTTATTCCATACTGGAGCCCTCATTTGGCATTTAGATGGTTTCAGTTTTTCACTATTATAAATAATGCTGGCATGAAAAACCCAGGACATGAATCTAGTTGGGAAGCTGTGTAATGGGGCAGTGAAGAACAGAATTTATCTACAAAAGGGAAGAAGTGTGTCCGATTCCACATCTGAAGCAGAAAATTTCCAGGATGAGCTTGGGACATCTTGTACCCAGAAAACTAGAAAGTTTCCAAAGACTAATAGTCCAAAGAAAGAACATAGGACATGAAGGTGATCCTCTGGCCAAGATGGGGAAATTTGAGCATAAAATAATTGACACACATTGAATATAAAATCCACAAGTTCATAAGGATCTTTTT